GACTGGGAAACAGGTTTGGAAACACATTCCTCAAATGTAATGTATTCCACGTGTATCCTGTTCAGCACCTGGATGTCTGTAGTACACAACGTGGCATTGCCCACAAACCAACCTGCAGGGCAATGCCAGGTTGTGCACTACAGACATCAGCAGGTATCTCCCTAGCTGGTCCCATAGCACAATGGGGACACACGGAAACTGGAACAAGAAGGCAGGTTAGCAGTAAAATGAAGAGGACTGTGCAAAAAGCACATACGGCTCCTCCACGACTTCTTCTTGCAATTTTGTTTTGCAGCTTGTACTTTTTTTGTATATTTATGTGCAGGCTCTGCCAAGCTGCTCAGGTCTCTGGACTTCAGTCCTGGAGGGCACCATATAGTGGGTTGATCTGACAGGTATCCCTTAGGAAAAAGTCACTTTTTCCTTTCTCTAGGAAAAACTGCATAAAACACTGTATTTTGCACACACATTTTAGCATGAACAACAGATTACCCCTGGTGTGCCTCACCAGGGACACATCCTAGGTTTTTCTTCCCCTTTCTGCAGGGACAGCACACACCTCGGGAAAATATTCGATAATAAATAAACAAATTAATTAATTAATTAATTAATTAAATGGCACGGCAGCTCTTGTTACATGTATGTATGTGCAGCAGAATTGTTTCTGTCAACATGAATAACRAGATTTTGCAGCTCCCCGTTAGACAGAAATATTAGATGCCTCCACTTCCAAGCTCCAACACGTGATGAATAGTCTCTTTTAGTATGAAAACCCAATCAGTCAGTCAGTCAGTCAGTCAGTCAGTCAGTCAGTCAGTCAGTCAGTCAGTCAGTCAGTCACCATCCCCCGCCCAGGGCCTCACGGTACTTTCGTATTTCCCGCCTTTGCCTCCCCAGTCAATCACGGCCTTCCCTAGCTCCCATTGGTCAGTGGGAGCGCGGGGGCGGAGCTCGCTGAGGCGGGCGCATGCGCAGGCGCATGMGCGGGCCCGGCGGCCGTTGGGTGCGAGCGCGGGCCGTGAGGCGGCGGGCGTGGCGGGTACGTGGGCGCTGCTGCCCGGGTCCGGTGCTGASGGAGGGGAAGGGGCGATGGCGGCTCCCCGGGGGCCTCCAGCCTTCGGCTCGTCCTGCGCTGCCCTCCCGAGCGGTGCGGGGAAAGGGGGGCTCGCCTCTAGCCGCCTTCTCCGCGCCCTCGGCTCTGCGCGGCCCAGCTTCTTCCCGGGCGGCCTCCTGTTCTTATCCCGTTGGGCCTCTCTGTGTTCCTCCCCCTGTAGCTTTTCCTTTTTCCGAGCGGGAAACGAAGGGGAATGTGGCCTCTAGCTCCTCAGCAACAGTTTGTCGTAAACTTGTGGCCAGCAGTTTATCAACTGAATAAGGAATGGCCGGGAGGGGTGGCTCTTTCCCTGTTCATCCTCCAGCCAACCYGGGGATAGTGTTTTACTTGAGTCTATATTAAATTCGACTTCTGGAAAACTTCCCTTTTTATGCATCATCCGGCTAGAGTTATGTTATTTCTGTATCTAGGATACTGAAAAGAAACCTTTTCAGTTGTAACAACTCAGTTAACGTTGGTTACAATTGTTAATGCTGCCTGCATTGCTAGCTAGTAGTAACCCTTTAATCTTCAAATAACATTTTTTTTTGAAAGCTTTTATTCATTTTGGGACAGTGTTTGGAGGAAAAATCTTTAAATCTTTATCGACTATTAGTGCTTTCTATTTTTTTTAATATCCTTTTGCTGAGTGAATTTGGGCCAGACTCTGTATCAAGCTGAAAATTTCTTTTTGCTCTCAGATTAATAATGCAAATAATAATTGTAAAGAAAATGCGAAATTATCTGTAAAACAACATTGTTGTCCTGCTGGTAGTACCACAGTAAAATCYAGAGGGAAAGATTTGAGAAATCTCCATTAGGAAATTGAACTGAAAAATTAACAGCTAGAAATTTGGGTGTATGCATATATCTTATGRATGGAGTAGTATTTATTTTCTAGTGCAAGGCTTCTGAAAAGTGAATGTAATAACTATTCTTTGTGAAGTTTACCACATGTGTAAAAATGTATAGACAATATGTTTTGCTTTCTGATTATGAAGATGATGCCAGTACCATTAAGGGATATTTTTGYATCCGACATAAACAGTTGCAGCGCACCTTTACCAATCTCTTAAAGATTTGTAAGGTTATGGYAATATTTATTTCTTATAACTGTCTTCTTAGTAGTATTTATGTCCAATGTCTGTTTTTCACATTTTTCTCATAGAAGTTGATTGTTCATCTTCCCAAAGATGAAGAGGAAAGTGGCAAGAGCTGGAAAATTGAGGCTGAGTCCTAATGAAGAAGCCATGCTTTTAAAAGAAGAATATGAAAGAAGAAGAAAACTAAGGCTACAGCAAGTATGCCTATGTTTGCATTAGTGGTCTGTTTTATTTAAGAAATAAGTTAGGAAAATAGATAAAAATGTATCTCACATTAATTCAGGGTTATTAAACTGTGTATGAAATTAGTATGTAGCCTGTGAATTATTTACCTTTTCACACCTTTCTCTACTAGGAAATACTTATTTTGCTTGTGGTGTATTCTTTTTGCTAGGTTTGTTTAGGCCTCTGTTCTGGAACTTCTTTATTCTTGCCAACTTATGCCTTCATTTGTATTTAAATTTTCATCTTTAACTACCACATTTTTTTGTTGGTTAATATGCAGATTTGTCTAGTTTGTACTGATAGGCCTTTTGAACTAACTTTCATATCTTTCCTTCATATATTTTTCTGCACGGTCAGTGCTAAAACAAGCTAACTGGCTCTTCTAGTTCTTTTAGCCTTTCTCTGTGCTATCCTACAAAAGCTATTTGGGTCTTCCACATTTCCAGAAATACACAGCTTCGAGAAAATTATATATGCTAATCTTCTAGMCTATCGGGTTTCTTTCTTTATGTTTATTATTATTGTTTCTCTTAAAAGAGAGTGTATATTTTTTTCACTTTGTCAATGAAACTTGTGTAAACAAACTTTAATCAAGCAATATACTTGCTGTTTTTCTTTGAAGAAATATGTTGCATCATAGTAGAAGTTACTACTAAGTCATTCCTTTGGAGGAAAGAATATTCCAAGCTTTTTTGTGTGTGTGTTTCGATTGTCATCTGTGTGTAGGTCTATGGATTTAAACCAAAATGTTTAATAAAGATTACATTTATTATTAAAGATGCATTTTGGAAAAGAGTAATGGAAGTATTTAAATCTGGGCAGATGGAGTAGTAATGGAAGAGCAGGTGAGATTGAAAGTAATAAGTGGGAGAGAATGTATTGTGGAAAGATCTGCTGCAAGAGYGATTTTTTTCTTTTAAGTTGTTGATAAAACATAAATGCTATTTCTGCAGGTTAGGGAACAACAGAAGTACATTGCCTTGCGGATAAGACAAGAAGTAAAGCGGAGGAGAGAAGAACAATTGCATCAGTTAGAGGAGGCGTTGAGAGCTGAGTGGGAGAAAGAACAAGATCAAAAGATGAAAGCCTTAGAAAAACTGTATTTATCAAGCTTAAAAGCTGTTGGTGAGGGACATAGACAAGCCAGGGAAAATGTGAGTAAAAAGCTTAATGTTATCAAAACAATCTAATGTTCTAGAAGTATGAAGGTTGCTGGATTTTTCTTTTTTGTTGTTTTTATTTCTGATATTACTGTCATAATACCTGAAGAGAGACTTTCTTTTTAAGAGTGGAAACTGTGCAGAAACTTCTATGTATTCACATGCAGACATTTATTTATGGGATGAGACATGGTGAGAAGGAATGTACACTTTATTGGGGAAGATTTGTAACCACGTTACTGCAGAATTACCTTCTGCAGAGCTGAAGGTGGTTACTGCAGAATTTGCTTCTGTAAACTATTTTCATTGTCTTCTAAATTCTGTAACTTATGTAAACTTTGCTTGAGATCAGTGACGTTGTGGGGTAGGAATCCTTTGTGTGGTTTGAATTTGCATCAGGGTTGTAGAAATCAAGCTCTGCAACAGATCTCTTGTGAATTTAGTAGACCAGTTTAATCTCTGAAATAGTTCTTTTTRAACACCAAGTGAAACAACATTATACTTTTCCCCATATTTCAACATTGCTTGTTAAGTCTTTTCCATATACTAAGATGTGTGGAAACTCCAGGAATACCATAGTAAGAATAGAGGAATAATTATGAAATATTCTAGTTGATACACAAGTGTTGTAGTAAAATGACTGAGATATGGTAATATCCTTTCTCTCTATGATTTGGTATATATATTACTGTTTGTTATTAAAAAGATGCGGAGAGAGAAGCTAAGATTTCCACATTGTTATTTGGTTATGCTGGTTGAGGAATGTGGCAAATTTGGTACTGGTTGGTAGATGAGAAGAGAATAAAGAAAATGGCAAAAAAGAAACAGTTTTTATTCTAATAAAGTATTTTCAAGCTCTTATCTCTTACTAGCAGTACTTAGTATGAAATATCATATTGATAGTATGAAAACTGATTAAATAGTGTATTAAGTTCCTATAATATTTTATTGGAAAGGAACCTGATTTAGAAGCTCTGGCAAAGCAAGCAGAAGAAAGGAAACAAAGAGCTGAGAAGAGACATAGAAAAGCCCTGAAAGAGCAGAAGAACCAAAAAGAAAAATTACTTCATGAGCAAGCCCGGTATGCAATAGTAGTCAAGTTTTATTAAGCATAAAATGCACTCTACAGTTTTGCAATGTGAAAGGCCAAAATCTTGATCCTCCTTGTTGGAAACTTTTGAATTTTGAAGTTTTGTGAAATGGGAGGACTAGAGCTTGAGGACAAACACATGGATTTTGGTAAGAATTGTGGTTTAAAGCAAAGATAAGTTATCAAGTACACTAGCTGACCTGTCAGACTCTCACCGGRCTAAAGAGCTTTTTATCTCTATATCACCATTTTTGGGCCAGATTGGCTGCTGTTCAGTGACACATGAAATGAGATGTTCTCGGTCCAAATCCTGACAGAGAGTTACTCACTTGAAGAAGAAGGAAAAAAAAAAAACAACACTTATCACTGTCTCTCTTTTCTTACTATTTTTCCCCTCCTGATTGAATCAGTACAAAGTTGAGCTGTCATGAAAAAAATGAACGGTGTTCTCTTGAGGAGTGATGTTTGACTAGAGATGAAGCCTCCTGAGGAAATGCTTAGTTTTGCACGCATATGAACAATTAAAATATGTTGAAGTGATCAAGAACGTTCCAGAAACCGATGTGAAAAAGCAGAGATTTTACTYCATTCTTGAAAAGCTTATGTTTTAAGCAGATATTTTCTTAGTAGGTTTTATATAACGCCAAAAATCTAATTGTGCTGCCTTCCATCATCAGTTCTGTTGACTTTTCAGTATACTTACCCATTCCTATCTCCCAAGAGTTAAATAGATTTAGAAGTTCCTAAATAGATTTTTAGGTTTGCATTTTATTTTATTCAAGCAATAATAACAGCACTGTGTAAATTTCTCCTTCTTCCCCATTTTTTTTCACCTTTTCTCTCAAGACTAATCAATGCACGAAAACATGCTCTGGATGTGGAAAAAGAAAGAGCTGCCAGAGTTGCCAGCCTACCACCTCCTCCACCCCATCCTCTTGAGGTCTGTATTCATGCCATGATTGAGGCCATAATTTTGGGATATGATATCAATGCAACGAAAGAACTATCCACTAGCAGCCTTCTTTTTACTAGGCTCTATTTTTTTTCTTCAGATTTCTCCTGTGTGGATTTTATTTCTGATAGGCAGCTGTGATTAATGTTCTCTTTAAACCTTACCGTGATCTCATTTTCATCTAACAGCTTTAGTAGTATTAACTTTACAATTATCTTTCCCAGCAGGTACATCCCACCCCAGCCTGCTGTCATGCTGATGTWGCAGTGTTTTGACTGAGTTCTGTAACAAAACTGTAGGATCGTTTTAGCTTTTCATCTGCTTTTTTAAATTCCTTTTTTTTTCCCCCTAGGAAACTAGTATTTGTGACTATTGAGGAGGAAGTAGATAAACATTTTTAATTCTCTACTGTTTTTTTGCCCTCCTTGTTTTGTGGATTCTGGATGCTTGAGTGTTGTTCGATTTGGTGTTCCTGGAAGAACATACAACAGAGAGCAGAATTGTTTTCTTGTAACTCTTACAATTTAGTATGTGTGTGCTTTCTTGCTTTTTAAAGAACACATTTCCTGTTGATGGCCAAAAGTTAGCTGCAGTTAGTGTGCAAATTTGTAGGTGATACAGTACTATTTACATAGCTGTTATATAAGGCTTTTCATCCAATAACTTCAGAAATATATCTTTCCATTTACAAACAAAAAAATTTCTTCTTTAGGAGTCTTGTTCACGAGAGCAAGGAAACTTTCACTTTTTCACAAGATTTTGAATTGCGTTCATTGTCATTACTTACTGTTTTGTTAATGCTAAGCTAATGTTAAACTTAGGCTCAGAAGRCTGATTCTAGCTGCAGATTCTGAAAGTAACACAGAATAGGCCAAGCAACAGGTAATCAAGCTAATGCTACGTTTGTTTTCAGAACTATAATTAGTTCCTACAAATATTTTAGTTATTGCCTTTCTGCAATTACTAGTTGAAATTACTATGACTTGTTGTCTAAGATAATTAGCAATTCACAAACAGCATTATAGTGTACCCATAAAAGCAAAATACTCAGTTGCTTTAAAACCATGAAATAAATGACCAAATTTCCTTTGGTAATGCTAAAATTAGAGAATTTTAATTTAAGAGTTCCCTATAACATCTTTAAAGTAACGAGAGCTAATCTATCCTGAAGTTTTATATGACATCTTATATCTAAGGGCAGATCTGAAGTTTAAGATATTCTCAAGACTTATTTCTACTTTTTGTGGGCGGGTGTTTGTTTACAAGCATGCTAAATTACTCAGGCTGTGAAACTCCGTTTTAATTGATGTGGGTGAGAATTGATTCTTTAGGGGAAAATCTAGAGGAGAGGAATCTGAGAGAAAATTATCAGACAAGTGTGAATTAGAAGTTTTAAGGCGACTCCTACAGAATACTGAGCTRTCTTACCTGGTTACTTGACTATTGACAATGTCAGACTGAGCCAAAGAAGAAGGTGCATAACTGCTGAGTGCTCAGAATTTGGGAATGTAGTCAAAACTTCCAAAAACAAATGCACTGTATTGTATGTATAGATTTTTTTTTTCTGTGAAATTATGGAAAACACTTTCTGGATAGCTCTAATAAATAGGGCATAGGAGTAGGTTCTGTACAGCAAACAAAGCCTGAGAAATGTTATTTTGCTATTACTGCTACTTATATTGTGGATTAGTGGTTGCCCTGCTTTCAGGTGAGCACAATAGCTATTGTAAATGCAATTTGTCTTAACCCATTAAAACTCAAGTGCCTTTGAGTGGAGTGATACTGTCGAAGCATGAAGAGGAATGTCAGTTTATGCAGAGGAGTCTGCCTTGGGCTAGTAGATGCTCCCAGTCATTTAGTGCTCCAGATAGGCTAGTGCTGATGTCATTTATTAATAATATAGATATATAAAGTTTTAAAGTAAGATATTTACAGGAGAGAATTTTGTGTTYATAGGTTTTTGGTGTTAGCTTTTAGTGGTAATTTGAGTTTGCGTATCACTGTTATTTGTGATACAGATCTACTTGTACTTCTCTTTCTAGAATTTTGAAGTGAAAAAAATTCCTACAGTGAAGATCTATAATGCTGACCACTTTCATGTTACTCATTATCATCTTTCAGAAAATTATGTGGACAGAGAAATGGACAGAGAACAGGTGATTAACTCTGAAGTGTTTTTGCAATGTATGTTCTATCCTGTTCTATATTGCACACTGTGTCTGGATTTCTGATATCAACAATTCAGTTTCTTAGAACTTGTTTTAACATTTGACTTGTATAATGCAACCATTATATGATTAGTACATGATGGGAAGTTGTAAGGCCTGTTAAGTGTTTGATCACATGCAGGGTCAGACCTGACCGCCTTTGCTACATTTTTTGCTTATGCTAAATTAACARTTGTGGTTGTCTTATTTTTTTTGCATACATTTAAGTCTTTTTTTTTTTTTCCAAATGCTACTAAAATTGTTAATTAAAAATGTGGAATGTTTTTGGTTGTGCTGTGCAAATAGAAATTAAAACTTTAGTGGATTTATTTTTTTCTTCTATAATAAACTACTTTTATTATTCATTTTACATTATATTGAAGGAAAAACAAGCCTCTGTTGTATTAAAGAATTATACATTTTTTTCCAGAACTGTTTGAAACTCCATAGCTTAAAAATTGGCACATAAGATTGAAAGAGTGAGGTGAAATGTGTAACTGTGTTTTTTTGTTTTGTTTTTTTTCCAAAAGTATAAACAGTTTGATCCTGCTTGTAACAGAGAGCTATAAACTCTAGAGGGCATTCATATAGAATTGTATATTTTTGCTACAATCTTATTCATTTACTGCCACATATGCTTTAAACTACCCTAAAGAACTTTGCAGACTAAACTGTTAGTGATTCCCTGCCAGGTAGATGCTCGGTTAGTTGCTGAAGAGGAGGGAAAGCGCATGGAGGAGCTACATAGAGAGGAGGAGAGAGATAGAAGAGAGCAGCTGGAAAAGGCCCATATTAGAGGAAGCCATGCCTTGAAGAAGGTCCACTTGGCTCAGGTAAGCAAAGCAGAAATTGTGCCTGTTTGCAGTGACCAGGATGAATGAATTTAGGAGCAAAATTGAAGGATTAATTGCTGTTTTCAAAACACTTAATAAAACCCTGGCAAACTCAACTTGCTGATGTGGGCTGTGCGAAGGCTTACAAGGTAGGAATGTTTTTGACAAAGATAAATTGGAAATCCATTTAGGAGCAGAATAGATGTTGCAGGTAATTTGGTTTTCTTATGCAGTGCCACAACTTTTACAGAAACTAGTATTGCTGTGGCTTCAAATGTGTGAAATAAGTATAGATTTTTTTTCTGTTAGATATCAAGGGATTTACTATGTTGTTTCACAGAAAAGTAAAAGTGGGGTTTTTTTGTTTGCTTTGCTTTAAATGGGTGGTAATGTAGAAAGTGATTTTGCCTTTAAATGAAAAAATATGGTTAAAAGTGGAGCTTCCAGTGTACTCCATGGCTTATTCTGTCACTTTATTTTTTCTTTAGTATAAATGAGTTGTTGAGCTTGAAATCTTGTCTTACACACACAAAATAACAGCTTAAAGAATTCAGATAATTAATGGTTGAACAGTGCATAGACCACATTAGCAAGCATTTCAAAGTCTTCATCTRCTGTTCTTGGAGCTGCTTTTCTTAGATTGTTTACTTTATAGGTATGTGAGACTGAGTACTGTATAATGATTTTAATGTATAATGACCTTTATATATGTACCCTTCTTTCAGAGTTGCCTCCTGAATTCTTGAGCTGCATTTTATTATCTCCTTATAAAACTTTTCCATCAATCTCCTCCTTGCTGGGACTGGCTGAGTGTAGCATCAACAGTGTAGGGTGAGAGCTTGGTTTGGGTGTTCTCTGTCTTCAGGCAGAGCATCCAGTCAGCTGTAGTCTGGCCACTGTTGTGCATGTCTTKCAGTGTGTTGGGAATTGCTTGCTCTAGCCAGCCTTAATTTTAAATTTGACTTTTAACGATTATTCTTGCTGTTCTGTTCAGCTGTTATCACCCTTTAATCCTTTTTTTTCCCCCTCAAATTCTATGATTTCCCTTTTGCCTGTGTCCCCTTGTCCTCAGTATGGAATCYAGTAGAGATAGTGATTAATAGAAGATGCCTCAGAACTATAAGAACAAATTAACGTTCAACCTCCTCCCCTGCAGTACTTGTAGCTTAGGAGCTTCCTGAATCCCCCCTCATGGCTTTGAACTTGATGGAACTTCCCTTCTGTGTTGGCGACTGTGGGCTCAAAGAGCAACTAAGGTTTGAGTATCTGTGACTAAGTGTTGTTGTGTTCTGGCTACTTATTAGGCTCATCTGTTTTCCCTACTTGTCTATTTAGGCAGTGAATTCCCTACTTGTCTTCACAGTGCCTCTGAAGGTTAAATAGGCTCCTTCTGTTTTTTTTTCCTTCTAGTCTAAGAGGTCCTAAACTACTTAGCAGATCTTTGCAGAGAAGTAGCTCCCTAGCTTTGATTATTCTTATTTCCTTTTCTCTATTTTTTCTTTAGTTCTTGTGTATGTAGTATACTTGATGTTTCTGATGTAATTTATGCCTGCAATTCACGCATGTCTGAAAGAGGAAAAAAAAAAAGTGGAAAAAAGTAGAATCCACGTAAAGCAAAAACATGCAAAGAGTGTAAAGAGCATAAGAAGGTGCAATGGAGATACTGTGTGAGAAAAAGACGTGGGTGATT